CACACACACACACACACACACACACACACACACACACATGCACACACCCGTTCGCGTGCGCAGACACATGGCATAAATAAACGATGTAGTTGTGTAGATGATGGATGATTCTTAATCATACAGCTTCGACTTTCCCATTTTAACCGGAATCAGGAAACCTGCCGCCGCGCGCCATTACAAATGCACTACGCAAACACAGCGTGCATGATTTGCCGCTACGAAACACAAAGATTCAATTCGATAAAATACAGTTAATGTTCACTGGCCGTAACTGTAAACAGGACACGACACCCGACCGTTCGATAAACTACCGCACTTTAGTTTCGCAAAACAAATTTTCATGAATTCGTTATAATATTCCGCAGAGTAACACAATCTTAAATCAAGAGACGTTAGCCGCCTGAGAAATTTGCTCATGGCAGCGCTCTGCATTGGGTCGCGCGCGTGTCGGATTTTTATTAATAACGATCGTGCACGCGGCTACGTTCCTTGTAATCGCCGGATTTTGCTTTAGAATCAATCATCATAACATTATCTTTCTTGCTTTATCTCAATGCATGCAAATTGGGTTCATTATAACCAAAAATCTAATTACGGAAATAGAGTCTTTCGGAATAAAATTTAATTCTGTCACGTATACACGGCCCGTTAGTGGAAGCATTTCTCATGCAGCGTGTGTGTGCGTGGAATAGTTATACGCATGAATTGAATATTCACGTGTCGAATAACGACAGAAAGATAGAAGAATAGGATATATAGAAGGAGATATAAGAGTTTTTCTAGAACAAGTTGGTTTAGCAGCTGTGCTTGAAAATGGACGCCGTCCGATTATTTTAATTTGTGGAAGGTAGCAAGTGGCTAACTAAGGTATGTAATTTAGAGTGATGGCGCTCTTCAAGAGAACGAGAGAAATAGAGAGAGGGGGACAGAGGGAGAGGGACAGAGAGAGAGAGAACGAGAGAGAACGAGAGCGAGAGAGCGAGAGCGAGAGAGAGAGAGAGAGCGAGAGCGAGAGCGAGGGAGTGAGTGGGAGAGAGCGAAAGAACCCACAACCTACAAAGACTTGGATTTTTGTTTATGCTTCTGCGTAAAGTTTCGCTTCGATTCCAGCCTTCTACTTATTAATCGGTGCATGTTACTTAATAGTCCTTGAATATACGTGTGCTGCGAAA